CGCATATGGACACTAGAAGTCATCCCAGAAGATTGGAAAGTAGGAATCATACCTGTGTACTACAAAGGGGGAGACAAACGACTCTGCCAAAAATATAGGGGCACAACAGTTTCAAATGGCGTCTACAAGATATTATCAGGAATTAGTTGTTCAATTTACTGAGCTATTTTTGTAAAACAACATGAAATTTTTTTTTTTTTTAAATTGTTAGAAAAAGAAAAAATTTTGTACAGAACATGTAATGCCCTGTAAATATTTTCAATTTTAAATACAAATTTTACTGACGGCCTTTTTCCTATCCACACGAAACAATCAGTTTCCAAATTCGTCTAAGTATACATAAAAGACAGTAATAGGCCAAGTTTTAAAATTAAATTCAAATTGACATACATCTTCCTGTAGAACATGTACCTATACATAAATTAAATTATAGTATAACTCTTTTGTACACAAACAATAAACAAAATCATAAACTGGATTAACGATTTAAATTACTGAACAATAAATTCGATTTAAAACCAGTTTGAAAAACGTTGTTTGTCGACATTCAAATATATCTCGCATATTTTCCCATAAACCATTTGTCTCATTCAATAACAATAATAGATAGCAATTTATGACTTCAGAAAGTTTTTTTATAGCTACCTGATCAATAATTCAGTTGGCCTCGCTATTATTCGTTATTCGAAGGGCTAAAAAAATATTTTCTTAAATACAAATTTGTGGAACATTCCAAAAATAGTGATAGTTGCGATAAAAACTAATACTGTATAAAAGGCGACCTCAGTGTAATCCGAAAAATTAAAATAAGATGACTGTCCAAGAAAAATAAAATTTAAGTGGTAAAAACTCATTAAGAACAAAGAACCCTGCAGTGAAGGCACAATAATCATTTTGTAACCTTCAAACCTTACACGTTACGCCATTCTTCTTCTTCGCGTGCCATATCAGAATTATCCGACGTTGGCGATCACCATTGCGAAGGTTTTTCGATCTTCTGCAATATGTTTTTTAACCAAGAAACTTGTTTTCTTCCTACACCTCTACGACCCCCTATTTTGCGTTTAAGAATCTTCTTCTTCTTCCTCTGCCCTATCCGTTTCGAACGTTGGCTATTAACAAGGCTATTTTGACTTTGTTTACGGCACCTCTGAACAGTTCGGTCGATGTTAGTCCGAACCATTGTCGCAGGTTATGCATCCATGAGTGTCGTCTTCTTCCCGGTCCCCTCCTACTGTCGATTCTTCCTTGGACTATTAAATGTAGCAGCCGGTACTTAGTATGCCTCATGACATGTCCGAAGTACTCAAGCTTCCGTTTCTTTACGGTGAAGATTATTTCTTTGCTTTTGTCTATTCTTTGCATTACTTCCACGTTAGTGATGTGGTCTGTCCAGGATATTCGAAGAATACGGCGATATATCCACAGCTCAAAGGATTCTAGTTTCTTCAGGGTGGCTTCCGTTGTGGTCCAGGCATCTGCTCCATAGAACAAGACCGGGAAGACATAACACTTGACCAGTCTTAATTTTAGTTCCATTGAGGTTTTGCTTGTTAACCACTTTTTCATATCGTTGAACGCGTTTCGCGCTTTTTCAATTTGTGATCTTATTTCTGTTGACTGGTCCCATTTTGTGTTGACTGTGGTTCCAAGGTATGTGTATGTCTCCACTTGTTCTATTTTTCGGTTGTTTAATGTCAATTGCATCGGAGGTTGTTGTGTTCTGTTGATGAGCATGCATTTAGTTTTGGTTGTATTGAGTTCTAAACCATATTCTTGACTTGCTGTGTGTATGCTTTGCATGAGACTTCGAATCTCGTTACAGTCATTTGCGATAATAACTGTGTCGTCAGCATATCTAATATTATTGATTATAGGAGTTTCGTATAGGAGTTTTATGATCTCGCCCTGTATGTTGTCGGGACCTGGTGTTTTGTCGTTTTTTAGCGATGAAATGGCTTTTTCCACTTCAGACCTTAGTATTTCGGGTCCAGTCATGTCGTTATCTTGGTCCACTGTCGCTCTGCGTTTATCGTTAAAAAGTCGTTTTACGTAATCTTTCCATGTGTCAATGAACTTCAAGTAGTCTGACATAAGGGTCTGCGTCTATTATTGTCGGGTGGGGATTATTGGTTTTCTTTTTAGTTGTTAATTCTTTGATCTTTTTGTGCATGTTGTGGTAGTCATATCTTCTGTCGCACTCTTCGATTTCATCGCATTTCTCCTTCAGCCAGCGTACCTTTGCTTCCTATATCTTTGTTTTTATATTGTGACTTGGTTCTTGATACTTCACTTGATTTTTGCATTTGTGTTGTCTTCTTTTTTCTATCATATCAAGGATTTCATCTGTCATTCATTCTTTCTTTTTTACGCGCTCCTGTAACAGAAGTATGTTGTTTGTCATTTCAACATTTTTTTTTATTTCTTCCCATTTAGCAACTGCGTCTTGTGCGGGTTTACTCAAGTTTCCAATGTTTCTTCTTAAGGATTCCTGTACTTGTTGTTTAATGTTGGGATTTTTTAAGGATCAGTTGTAATATTTTATATCGACTTCCCCTTACTATATGTCCCAGATAAGGCATTTTTCGATGTTTAACAGTCTTTAGCAGTTCTCTATCTTTGTTGACTCTCCTTAGTACTTCGTCATTAGTTTTCCTTGCTGTTTAAGGTATCTTCAGCATTCGTCTATGAACCCACATTTCTAATGCTTCAATTTTGTTCATGATCGATACTTTTAGCGTACACACTTCGACACTATATAAAAGTGCGGACCAAACATAGCACTTAACCATTCTTTACCTTAGTTCTAAACTGAGATGGTTATTGCAAAGAAATGACTTCATTTTCATAAAAGTTGTTTTAGTCATTGCTATTCTACGACCGCGATGCATTATACCAATATTAACTATATAAATTATAAAGATACTAGAAATAGAAGTGTCTTTCATTTTATACTATCTGATTTTGAATCATAGGCATACTCACGCAAGTCCAACTTGAATATAATCAACTTAAAATTCGAATATCAACTTACCTGAAAAAGAAAAAGACGTATTAAAATAAAAAAATAATTACACGAAATAAAATTTTTAATATTAAAATAGTTATTTAGTCAAGTTGATTTACAATTATAATAACTGAAAAGTAGTATGTCCAGTAAAAAGGGTCGGATTTAATAGGTTTTAATAAATAAAGAAACTGATGGGGTTAATTGGAAATAATTTTTTATGGTGGCTTCCAGATATGACTTTGGTGCAAAACGAAATGCAATGAGCTAAGTATGAAACACACATCCTTACAAAAAAGTTTCTTATTATTGGTATTCATTTCGCGGCCCCTTAGCTTTACTATGCGTCCGCCAGTGGTTTCGACACACACTTTGGAAACTACTGTTTTATATGAACTAGTAGAATATAAAATACCAAAAATATATCTTTTGCCATTTTTTCATACATAGCCTAACCTAGTAAAACCTAACCCAACTGACATTTGTGTATAATTTGTTGGTTATACGTTTTACTTAATGTTTTAAAATGTTTTTAATTTCCCTGTTGAAAATGATTATCAAAATAAAAATTGAAGTTTTCTATTATTTCAGGTTTGTTTTCAAAGAAGCCCTTAATTCTTCATGGCTTTCGTCAAAGGTTCATGTGATCCATTGCAGTTGTATTCAATTACAAATTTTTTGTGTATTTGTTGTACAGTTTAAACTTTTTTTGAAGAGCATTATATTACTTCTTTTCTATAGTAAAATGTTGAGGCGGGCGACACGGAACTTGCGCCACAAGATGAAGTCGTCACTAGTAGCTTCACAAAATAGCGGTTCTTTACATCGATTCACTACTCTCTATCAATTCGATTTTAGTCATCGTATATTAATTCTAAGCAGATTTAAATTAAATTCTGCATTAAAAATAACTAGCATATAAGGGGCAGTTAAAAAATGTGTGATTTAGATCAGCTATACTAGTTCCACACTTACATCTGTCTCTTTTAATCTAAGAATGGTTGACACTATATTTCCACTTAGTGTATCAACTTTGACGTCAATAAGAGAGACAACTAAAAAGAACTAGAGAGCTATAATACACAATCAGAAACGCGAAAGTTCTACAGGAGGATTAACCAGAACAGGAAAGAATTCAAACCAAGATTATCAATCGTTAGAAATAGAACAGGGGAGATCATTGGTGATCAGGACCAGATACTGGAAAGGTGGACGGAAAACTTCGATGAAAGGTTAAATATACGAGATGAGACAGGGCTCCACGAATCAGAAATCCAACTCGAGGACATGGACGACAAAAGAGAGAAAGATAACATTCCAACAGAAGTAGAAGTCATCCAAGCTATACAAAAATTGAAAGAAAACAAAGCTCCTGGGGCAGATGGCATTTCTTCAGAACTTTTAAAGCATGGAAAAAAACCTAATATACTGTATATGTAGACTGGTAGAACTGATCTGGAAGTAAATGAAGTTGCCAGAAGACTGGAATGTAGGTGTAATTGTACCTATCCACAAGAACGGAGATCAAACAATATGTGATAACTAGAAAGGAATAACCCTTCTAAATGTAACATACAAAATATTGGCATATATTCTTTACAACCGACTATCGGGATATTGTGAAGGCATAAGTAAATGTCAGTGTGGGTATCGTAAAGAAAGATCAACGACCGATCAAATATTCCTTCTAAGGCAAGCTCTAGAAAAAGCTCGCTCTGAGTAGGTATGGTGTTGATACTCATCACCTGTTTGTTGATTTTAGATGTGCATATGATAGTGTTGAAAGAAACGCACTGTACAAGAATAGAATTCAGCATACCAGTACACTTAGTAAAATTAGTGAACGCGACCCTCTTAAGAGTCGAGTGGAAAGTTAGTGCAGAACGGAGTTTCCAGAAAGTTTCAGTCTCAGATAGGACTTAGACAAGGAGACAGCCTATCATGCCTTCTATTTAATATTGCACTAGAGAAAGCGATAAGAGAATCTGGAATAACAACCAGAGGAACTATTATTAATGGCAACGTACAATTACGAGCGTACGCCGATGACATCGACGTTATTGCAAGAAGAAAGGCGGACGTGGTCGAATCATTCAATGCGCTTGAAGCAGCAACAAAAAGAATTGGACTAGGAGTTAACACTAGTAAGACGAAGTATATGAAAGTAGTAGTAGTTACAAAAAGAACGAAACTAGTGATATACAGAACTCTTATCAAGCCCATCCTCACATACGCGTCGAAAACATGGACTATGACAAAGAGCGATGAAGAACGTTTAAAATGCTTTGAGAGCAAAATCCTCCGGCCATATCTATGGAGGTGTACACAAGGGCGGATTATCTCGCAGACGCTATAATTTCGAACTTTACCGCCTGTATGGCAAACCTGATATTATAGGTCCACCAAAATAAACCGGCTGCGGTGGTTAGGTCACATAGAGAGAATGAATGAGATGAAGCCGCCAAAACATATTTATAATCAAAGAATAGATACAGTTAGAAGGAGAGGCAGACCCAGAGCACGATTTAAGGATCAGGTGGAGGAAGAATTGAGAATATTGGGAATACGAAACTGGAAAGTCAAGGCGAAGAATAGGAGAGAATGGAGACTTATCCTTGAGCAGGCCAAGACCCACCATGGCTTGTGGAGCCAATGATGATGATGATAATGTAACAACTTAGTAAAATTGGTTCGCGGCCACTGTTGGTTAAAATTTAAACAAATTAGTATCTGTAGTTTCACCGGACTGAATCAAACGTCTATCCCATTTAAATTTAATATGCTGTTTTACATACGCAAGAAGATCTAAGAAAATCTAATGTATTAAATTCTTCAATTAATATATGTGGGTGCTTTAGTATATTTTTAGCTATTGAATCCGCAGTACTATTACCCAGTATGTATGAATGTCTCTTAAGCCATACGAATTTAACATCATATGATAAAGCTAATAATTTTAGTAAGTGTTGAAAAAATTTTAATAGGAAATTAAATTAAATTTTTACTTAACTATTTATTTTATTAAGTTGTTTGTTGAACCCTTTCCTATTTATTTTTAATGAGTTCAAGCTTTTAGTGCCAATTAACTTTTTCGATTGAAAACACGAAACTTTTTGGAACTTATCTGCGCCTCCACCAACATCCATTATCGAGAGCAAACTCTAAAACTATCTAAAAAAGAAAGACTATATATCGCCCTTCTAGGGTTGATATAGATCGGGTAAAAATGGCAATCTTAAGTGAAATAAATTATATCTTGTTTCGATTTTTAAAGACATCTTTTTCCTAACAGTTGTATTAAATAGAGTGCGCAATAAATTTTTGTATCTCTGGCGTTTACGATCGTCTTGAATAGATATACCAGTAACAAAGTATCTAAAATGTATATAGTTATGTTATTACTTCTTTTGTATTTGATTAATTTAGCAAATCAAAAACATAACTTAATTGTCCTCAGGGTGAAAAATCTCCTTATATTAACCTATGTTGTCTGGGTTAAAAGACTTCCTAGTTATCTTTTATTGGGATAGAGAAAAAGGATAATAATAAAAATATTATGTTACAAAAATTGGTATTTTTTATTTTATTTAAAGAAGAATAAAAAAATAATCAAATTTTTCTGTTATCTTATCAATCAGCTTAAACGAATACAATAAAATTTACACAAAAAGAATATTTTAAATCTTCTTGAAGACAAAACCAATTTAAAGCCAATTTCAATGAATATCTTTCAAACTTTTTATCTTTCTGATTTTTCAATATTTACTTTATTGCAAAAACAAAACTTTAAAACATTTTACAAATGAAATCTACCCTTGAGTTAAAATGGTAACGACAATGACGTCAACAAAATTCATTCACAATTATAAAATTTTCAATTCTGAACAGAAAATCACTGAGCTTTTCTTCGTAGGTTGTATTTGGACCATATCCATGATCGTCCACGATCCACAGCAATGTGATCTGCCAGTATTTGCCTCCGCTTTCTTCTTTTCGTATCTGCAATCCTATTGCAGCGACTGTACGAAACATTTGACTTAATTCTCCAACAATTAACACTTGAAATTTAATTCTCCAAACACTCAGCTACTTCTCAATGACACAAGGACCTCTTTCTGTCAACTTGGTGCCACCAAACAATTTCCTACTTATTCCAGAATCTGTCCACTTTAGACCCCAGGATATCTTTACATCGACTTGAATTCTCCTTCCACAATTCTGCTACCTTCCTTTTACAATGCCGATATCCAAACTCACGAACAACCCTCCATCGAGACGCGACGTTTTCTTTCGATGATCAAATGACTGCTTACTCTCTCATACATCGACTATCAATTCTTCCATTCAAAAAAAAACTGTCAAATCAAAAAACTTTATTTTGTTTACAATCATTAAGAAAAAACCCCATTACTGTTTCCAGAGAAACTAAAATTTTTGCTTTAAAACTGGCTTACCCTTTGGTTACAAATACATAATTCATTCGTATAACAAAAGGTTAATTACAATATCTTAATCCTTAGTCATATACAAACAATGCCTTGAAAATTTATTTAAATGGTCTATTTATTAATTTTTATTTTTCTTTTTGGCTAAGAAGAAGAAATATGACAATATAGAACACTTAATAATTTTTTACAACAATTTAAGTCATATATTTATAAAAAATTAGGGCAGTGTCTAAAATAATGGCCTACAGGCCTATGGGATCTTCTTCCGGAGAACACAGAATTGAACTCTTTATGTTGTTCTCTGTCAGTCAAATATGATTGAGGTTATGTTATATTTTAAACTGGAAGTTTAAGTGTATTTTAAAGTAATGGCTAGTCGTAAAGCTATTTTAGAAAACGCGGTGTCAAAAGGTGTCAAAAAGAAAATCGTTCAGGAATATGTGTCAAAATTTACGGGAAAAAATGTATAGAGTAAGGTATTTTCTGTTGTCAATAAGTGTTGTGTAGAAAAACGTTTTGCAAAAATAACTTCGTAAGATTAAAAGCGTTTATGACTATTTTTATGATATTGGTTCAAAAAAAGAAATAGACACTCTTCTAGCAGGTTGTATGGTATTAAGGATGCCTCCAGAAAGGTGTAGAAAGATACAAAATCCTAAAATTAGCAGACTGTATCACTGAAAATCTTCTTCTTCGTGTGCCATATCAGAATTATCCGACGTTGGCTATCACCATTGCGAAGGCTTCTCGATCTTCTGCAATATGGAATAATTGTCCTGCATTTGGTATCTGAGTCCATTCACGAATGTTTTTTAACCAAGAAACTTGTTTTCTTCCTACACCTCTACAGCCCTCTATTCTGAATTTTGACCTCAGCACCTGAGCACCTCAGTAAAGTTTTTTTTTTGAAAAATGAAGGCAAATATCGAGCACAGTTGTGCTCAATATTTGCCTTAATTTTTTAAAGTTTATTTATTCGAGCATTCAACCTTATATCAATTACCTCAGTAAAGGTTTAAATTAAATAATTTCGTGTTTGGTTTTAGTTCATGAAGTTTGGCATCTAATATTTACATAGCTATGAAATACTGCTTTTTTAACTTTATTTAACTATGTTTGCGAATGTTAATTTATATTTAAAATGTAAAAACGAAATAAACTAATGATTTCGGGGATAACCCTAATGAACAAAAGAAGTAGGTAATGTGTTTTTCGGGGAATACCCTAATTTTTAGGTATTTACCGAATACTGTTATTGAAAATAGTTATCATTTTACGTTCATCGTCTGTGCATATAAGCAGTGATTATTTGTAAAATTAAATTAAAAAATGTCAGGTAAAGATGAAAATATCAGTTGCTCGGGTGTAAAGAGGAAATGGGAATGGAAACAAAAACCATTGACAGAAGAGGAACTACTTCGTATTTTAGACGAAAATACTGATAATGATGATGATTTTGATGCGTCCAGTGATGATAATTATGTTCCTAAAGTGGATGAAAATGATGACGATGATGTGGTACCAGATATTGTGTCAAGAGTAAGTATGTTTTAACATTTTATTTAAAACTTCTCACTAGAGGTATTGATTTTAGGATATTAATACCTTTGTTGCAAATAATGATGGAACAGATATTTGGGAGGAAATTCCTAATTCGATGAAGTAGTTTCATTTTACAAAAATACAACAATTGTTAGTTCCTCTTCCTGGTGAAAGACCTATTGAATGTTATTGACGAGTGAATTTTTGCAACATATATGCGACCAAACTAATACGAATGCTGAAAATATATTTTTGAAAACCGGATTTCAGGAAAATTCTTGAATAATCCAATGGAAACCTATTACACCCAACGAATTATGTATATTTGTGGGAATATTATGTCACATGGGTGCAGTTAAAATGCCCAGATTTTAAGATTATTGGAAAGAGAACGACCGCTTGTTTACCACACCAATTATCTCTTCCCACATGAGCAGAAACATATTTCTGCTTATAATGCGATGTCTACATTTCGTACAAGAACCATCAGATAATGAACCAATACATAATGGACAATCGGACCAATCGGACAAGATGAAATAGAACAAGTTAAGGATTATATATATATCTTGGTCAAACTATAAAACTTAACAAAGACAACCAAAAAGCAGAGATCAAGAGACGAGTTAGACTGGCATGGGTGGCATTTGGCAAACTAAGCTACATTCTTAAAAACAAAAGATATCCACAGCATCTTAAGACCTAAGTATATAATCAATGCGTACTCCCTACATAATCAATGCGTACTAGTCATTTACAAAAGCAAACATGGACAAAATCATAAAAACCCAAAGAGCAATGGAAAGACAAATGTTGCACATACGACTAATGGATAAGAAGATAAATGAGTGGATAAGAGAGAAAACAAAAGTGAGAGATGTTAGGCAAGAAGTTGCAAAATTGAAATGGAGATTTGCCGGACACAATATAAGATAAAAAGAAGACCGATGGAACAAAATTCTTATAAGTTGGAGACCGTAGGAATATAAACGAAGCAGAGGAAGGCCCCAAATAAGATGGGCAGATGATATCAAGAAGCACGTTCCCTTTAGGTGGATGACTGTAGCGACAGACAGAGAAGAATGGAAAAGGATTGGGGAGACCTATGTCCAAAGATGGACCGAAGAAGGCTAATTAGATAGATAGATAGACATGATGACAGGATTTATAAGGTCAGGACTTTAATTAATTTTTTTAATGAGAGAATGAGCAAACTGTATTATCCAGGACGGGACTTGAGCTTGGACGCATCAATAATTCTACATCGTGGGCGTTTGAATTTCAGACAATACATTAAGAATAAAAAAAATAAACACGGAATTAAACTTTATGTGATGACAAAACCTACCGGCCTTGTTTTAAACTTTATGGCATATACAGAAATGTACGATGATGCTGGCGGCAAAGGTCACACCGAAAAAGTTGTTTTTAAACTATTACAGGGAAAATTAGGCTTTGGTCATTGTGTTTACATGGAAAATTATTACA